GACGACACCCTTGAGCGGAAGAGGGCAGCCGCTGCCGCGGCTGTGCCGTTGCCGACTCACGAGGTCAACTACAAGGAGATCCAGATCACTGCCAAGGACCATGCTGGCATCCAGCGCACGTACCACTACACCATTCCCTTCCTGAAGACGCTGGAAGACGTCACGCCCCTGATGAAATGCACCCGCAAGCGCATGGCCGACTGGGACGACTCGAAGTTCTCCAAGGCTCCGCGGAAGGATCCGCAGGTGCCCTTGAGCTTTCTAATGAAATAGGGCGTGCATGTTCATTGGGTTCAGTCTCGCCTCCAACCTCCAAGACGTCCCAGGCCCCCTCCAAGAGACCCCCAGGAAGCCCCAAGAGGCCCCCAGGAGGCTTCCAAGCGGCCCCTAAGAGCTTCCCAAGAGGCCCACAAATTACCCCCAAGAGGCCCCCAAGAACGCTCGTCGTCGTCGTCGTCGCCGCCATTCAGGGTCGGCGGCCCCGACCGTACGGCCTTCTCAATAGGGCGTGCATGTTCATTGGGTTCAGCCTCGCCTCCCTCCCACCTAGCAGCCCACCTTCGCCAATTGTTGGGGGCAAGTGTCGTCAGATCCCCAGCCATCCCCCCGATGCCATTAAGCGCACTCCTACTTCGAACGCCGAGGGTTGCGTTTCTCAGGGGCCTGACGCTAGGGCCCAGGGGTTGCCAATGCGTTCCAGTGCCCACGCTACTCCGAGTGCCTTTTCTGCTTCGTGTCAGCTTCATGTGGACGACGGGCAACGCCTTCTCCAGAATCAGTTCGATTCATAATTATTATTTTTTAGCTTGCAGCGCAGTGGCATAGTGGAGGGAGGGGGGCGTTCACATCATATGTGGCGTCGCATGGGGCATGGCGCGCCCCCCCCCCCCCGCCACACACCCAATCGAGAAGCCCGCGGCGGGTGCCGCCCTATCTTGACCTCGGTTGCCGCTCACTCCGCTGCTCGGCGCGCACGGAAGAAATGTCGAGCCACCGCCAGTTGACCCGCTCAGTTCCGACAGTGGCGCAGGGAGGGGGTCAAGTCGAGGAGTTGAAACCTCGTTATCGTTGACAGTGGGCCCGCAAGTAGGCCTTGGCCCCTGGGTCAGTGCATGCTTGAGCCGTTTCCCGAGTCAGCACATGCTTGAGCAAGGGCGTTTGAAGGGGCGAGGTGGGTGAGGGAGGAGGGAGGAGGCATGATAGAGGGATGAGGGAGAAGGTTCGTTTGCGGTAAACGGTGGACGGCCACTGCTCCGAATGCATAGCTTGAGTAGGCAACTATTGGGAGATGATGGAGGACGAGGGGGATGGATGCGAAGGATGAGGAGAAGGATGACGGAAGAGGAGGAATGCGGAGGAGGAGGAGACGGAAGGGAGGGGCGGGAAGGCAGGGTAACAGGATCAGCGCATAGGAGTGGGAGGAGGGCGAAGGGAGGCAGGGATGAGAGAGGCAGAGGAAGATGATGAGGAGGAGAGAGCGGAGAAGAATTGCGAGGAGGAGGAGGAGGATGAGGAGGACGAGGAGGAGGAGGGAGGAGGACGAGAGAATGGCTGAACAAACCAGCCACGTCGCCTCTCCCTGCCGTCCTCCCGCTTGTGCTGAGGCTGTTTCTGAGGCCACTCGAGGATATGGGGCGCGGGGTTTGTTCTTCGAGGCCAAGGGGGGAGCGGGGGGGTCCTTCACCCCGCCACCCTCGGGCCGCGGCGACTGTAGGTGGGAGGAGGAGGGAACGGAAGAGGGAGGGAGAGGAGGAGGAGTAGGAGGAGGAGGAGGGAAGATGAGGAGGAGGAGGGAAAAGGGAAGACGGGATGCTGAGGAGGAAACGGGAGGAACAGGAGGTGGGAGGCTAGAGGAGGAAGAATGAAACATACGAAGAGAAGGAGGCTCGATCACCAAGTAATATCACGCTTGCGACGGCTGAACTTACGTCGTTGCGGCACTCAGAAAAGCTGATATTTGTTGATTCGGAGCCCCCCGCAGGTTAATTTATAGGAGCGGCACCGCCGCCATACATCGTTATTGTGGCCCCCGAGAGAGCAGTTCTATCGATATCAGAGGCGGCAGATCGATATGAAAAGTCCCCAAAAAACAAAGGTAAACATGATCCTCAGCCGAGAGGACCCCAAGACACCCCAAAACCGAATCCAAGAGGCTTCCGAGAGTCCTCCCAAGAGATCCCCACATGCATCCCAGAGGCCTCTGACCTACAACCCAGACACGGTGGCGGGATGTGCCGAAGACCATTAGATACTGGAGCCTCGTGGGCCGTTTTGGACAGTTCTTGGCCCGAGAAGGCAAGAACCTCAAAAACCTGCAAAAACCATACAACAAATCAAAGTGCTCTGCCCCTGGGGGCCCTCTCGGGAACCCTCTGGAAGGCCTCTGGAAACGTCTTGAGGCTCTCCTGGACCGCCTGGAGGCCATCTGAGGCTCTGTTGGGGCTGTCTTGGTGCCCTCTTGTGCCGTTTAGGGGCCTTCTTGGGCCGTCTTGGGACCTTGGGCCGCGTCCCGCGTGACTTGAAAAAACGCCCGGAAACGGGCCATGGGAGCCGCCCGGGAGCCGCTTCACTCGAAAAATACAAAAAAGAAACGCCCCTCTCGCGGCCATGAGACGTATGCGTGCCCCCCTCGCCCCTCCACTGCAGGAACCCCACTATAGAGGGGTTCGCCCCACACAAGAACGTCATCACTCGTACCTCGCTCTTTCCGTTACCTGGGCCGGCACGGAAACGGAAAGAGCGCCTCAGGAACTTGCCCGAGAGGGCTCATGGCACCCCGCGATCTTGGGAGCCTTGGTGTGAAGAGCTTGTTACGTCGCCGTCTCCTTTGGGAGCCCTGGTGTTCAGAGATTATTACGTTGCCGCTCGCTCTTGGGAGCCTTAGTGCGACGAGCGTTGTACGTCACCGCGCTCTGGGGAGCCTTGGTGTGAAAGGCTTGTTACTTCCCCGCTCGCTGATGGGAGCCATGATATTATTGAGCGTCTCTTGGGCCTCTTGCGTTCCCCAAGACGGCCCGTGTGGAGCCCTTTGGGAGCCTCTTGGGAGCCCTTTTGGGACAATTACGGACCGTCTTGGCGCCTTTCTGGGCCGTCTTGGCGCGTTTTGGAAGTCATTGGCCGTCAAGGGGCTGTCTTGGGGCTGCGTGGCGCCCTTTTGGGAGCTTCGTTGGGCCCTCTTCTTTGGGCAACCTTAGGGCCCCCTGGGGCCGTTTTGGGGCCCTCTTGGGCCGTTTTGGGCTCCTCTTGGGCACGTCGGGGGGCCCTCTTGGACTGTTTTCGGCTCCTCTTGCGGGCCTCTGGGGCCGTCTGGGGCCCTTCTGGACACGAGAAATGGCGAACCCGAAAAACCTGCAAAAACCAATAAGACATACATGTTTTTGGCCTCCTCCGGCCCTCTCCGGAGCCCTCTGGAGGGCATCTGTTGCCGTCTTGAGGCTCTATTGGGCCGCCTGGAGGCCATCTGAGGCTCTCTTGGGGCCGTCTTGGGGCCTTCTTGGGCCGTCTTGAGGCCCTCCTGGGCCGTCTTGGAGCCCTTGGGCCGCATCACTCGAACAAAAATCAAGGAAAGAAACGGGCCATGGGAGCCGCCCGGAAGCCGCTTCAGTCGAATGAATACCAGGAAAGCTGGTCAGTACATCCGTTATCTGCGCTCTTCGCCACTCCCCTGGACCCCTCCCTTAAGGACTTTGCCACACCAAATAACGCACTTCACTCGTACCTCGCTCTTTCGGTCACCTGCTTGGAATGAGGACGGAATGCGCGTTTATTTTGTGAGGGCGCGAGGTCGCTGGCTTTGTGTCTTGGAGCCCTGTTGGTGTGAAGGCTTCGGTGCGACATGCAGAAATCTAGCAACCAACCTTGAGAACATCAATACAACTATTGCATTTCCGAGCCTTCCTGGGGGTCCTTTTGGGGTTCTTTTGCGCCGTCTTGGGGCCCTCTTGGGCCGTCCCGGGGCCCTCTGGGGACGTCTTGGCGGGCTTGGGCTACCTTGGGGCCCTCTGGGGGGGCCTTCTGGGTCCTCCTTGGGGCTTTCTTGGGAACCTTCTGGGACTCTCAGGGGCCTCTCTTGGGTCGTCTTGGGGGCAACTGGGGCCGTCTTGGGGCGGTCTTGGGGGCCTCCTGGGCCGTACTGAACGCTGTGAAGACCACAGAAGCGAATATGCTAACAATTTGCGTTTTCCGAAGGGACTGAAGCTATTTTTGCCTCTTGGGGGTCACCTTTGGGGGCATCTTGGGTCGATTTGGAGGCCTCTTGGGCCGTCTTGAATTCACATGGGGCCATCTTTGAACGCTCTTGGGCCGTCTTCTTGCCGTCGCTCGGACGTCCATTTCCCGTGTATTTTTCGGTTTCGTGCGTGTTTTTTTTGTCCCTCGATGGTCCTGGATGGTCCTCGATGGTTCTCGCCGAGAAAAGATGCACGCGTCCGAGCGATGCCAAGTCCTCGGGCCGTCTTGGACCTCTCCGACGCCGTCTTGAGCGCTTTTGGGGCTGTCTTGGGCCGTCTTTGGGGCCCTGGGACACACAAATAAATGCAAACAAATAAATGTATTCTTTGTATTTTCCCATATTTTCTGGGTTTCTGTCTTCCCAACCACTTCCCATATTTTCCCATATTTTCTGGGGAGTCGACGATTCATTGTGTCTGTGTGTTTTTCCCCCTCCTGATTTTTGTTGTCCGCGGGGGAGGCCGCGCACGACCCGCTGGAATGGCAGCGGCCTGTGATCTGCCGGGGCGGCGCGGGGCGCTGCGCGGGACGGCTCGGCGGGCCGCCAGGGGCACCGGTGCCGGAGCAGGAGCGGGAGAGTGCCGGGGCGGGGAGAGGGTGGGGCAGGCAGGTGGTGTGCAGGGCAATTTTTAACACATGGGATTTGTTTTCAACATGGGATTTTTGGTACATGATTAACTTATGAATAGATTGATGCATGAACTCATCTTTGTGGACAGACCTCCCTTTAGTAAACCTCCCCTTAGTGAAAACGGGCTGGGACCGAAACCGACGGACCTGGACCCACAAAAATAACGGCCGCGACGCCCTCTCGCGAACCGAAAACGGCCAATTCCCTAATCGACGTGTCAAGGTAGGAGGTCTATGCACCTCCGAGTGAGAGGAGGGAGGGCAGGAAGCGGGGGGGGGGGGCGGCGGAGGCGTGGGCTGGAGACTTCGCGGCACAGGATCCGGGCAGGCCGCGGGCAGAGATCGCGCTGCCCACGGCCCCCCGCTGCTTGCCAAGCGGGTGGTGAGCGCGGCAGTGCGGGAGAGAGCGGGGCGGACGGAGGCCGAGTGAGGAGGGGAGCTGCGGGAGCAAAAAGAAGACTGCGGAGGGCGGAGGTCGATGGGAGGCGACGGCGCAGGTCGGCGCCTGTCCGGCTTCCTGGCGTGTGGGAACAGCTGGCGTCCTCTCACGACGGGCACGGCTGCCGCCAGGCTCCCCTAGACTCCGACGGCGTGCTGCCGAGGCGCCTGCGCCGCGGCCCTCGCCGCGTCCGGCCTCACGTACTGCGCAAACTCCCAGTAGCTGATGTAGCCGCCGCGCTCCTCCGCCCGGCGCTGCAGCCTCTCGATGACCCCGCCAGGTTCCGCATCGTACCCGGCCCTCTGCAGAAGGAACCCGAACTCGATCGGGTTGAGCTCTGCCTTGCCTTGAGGATGGAAGAAAGAGAACAGCTCCTCAAGGGGCGCTTGCGCCTGGTCGAGGCCCTCTCCAGCCAAGAACCGCTTGCACGTGAGCTTCAGCTCCCGCTCTTTCCGGCGGAAGCTCCGCATTTGAGCGATGTTGCCGTCTTCGCACCAAACCTGCACTTGTGCGTCGTGAGTCTCATAGACAGGATACACGCAAAGGTGCACCAGGGCGAATACGAGAAGCTCGAAGCACAGCATGAAATTCTGTATGGCGATGCCGATCTCGTCGGCCGTCATGTCCTCGCCGACGCAACTGGTCACCTTTGGGAGGAGTCCGAGTCGCTCGATCGGAAGCACCTTCTCGCAGAGAGTCTTCTGAATCATGGTGGCGAAAACGAGAATCTTGATTGCCAAAAATTTGCTGTGAGGGGAGCTTTGCTCAAGCCGGACATGCAACCACTGGTTGCGCTCGGTCTCCGCAAGCAGAAGGATAGTGCAGTACATCGCGAGGCCCACGGAAGCACCCTTTATGGCCAGCAGCGGGGTCTGGACTTTCTTGTACAACTCTACCCCGTTCTGGTTGATGAACATGTCGGATGCGAGAGCGCCCCTCTCGCTGTGGGACACCACGGAAGCCCAGAGAATCACGGAGACGACGCTGACCACCGCACTCACGACGGTGTACTGCAGCATCCCGAACAGGATCCCCCGAATCAAGTGGCCACCAGGCCTGAACGGCATCCAGCGTCTATCTCCGAGACTGGGACACCAATTCACAAGCCGCGGGAAACACGTGACCCACACGTGCTGTGGCATCTGCTGCTCCCGCATGAACTGCTTCACCACAAATCTGAAGCCCCCCAGCCAGGTGAGGATAAAATTAACGAACGCGGCGAGCGCGAAGGACTCGTAGAACTCACGGAGGAGAGTGACGAGCTCGGGGAGCATATACAGGTTCGTGACTTTCGTGAGGCAGTACTGGGCGTTGAGAGCGTAGAGCGGCACGAGCGACAAGATAACTATCTCCATCCGGAGCAGCTCTCCCCTCTTCCTGCTGCAGCAGCAGTGTCGGAGAATGTGGGCGAGCGAAATGGCAACTGCCAAATAAGCTGCAGTCTGCCCAAACTGGACTTTATCGTCCCATGACTGCTTACAGAACGCTCCAAATTGAAGTTCACCTGTTAACCCACTCATGGATCAGCCCGTCTATGACACTGCCCAGTGAGGTGCACTGTCAGCACGTGTGCCCCGTGAGATGATATCTTGAGCCAAAATGGCTACGGGGGCTGTCTTGGGCCGACTTGGGGGCCTCTTAGGCGCTCTTGGGGCTGACTTGGGCCGCCCTGGGCCGAAACTTGCAGCACTTAGAGCCATCATCTGGGGGTCCGGCTGCCTACCCCCCCACCCCCCCCTTGCTATCTCTCCCGACTAACGGATCGCGAAGCTACGCGCGCTTTCCGTCATCCGCCGCCCCTTATTGGCTTGCCAGAGGGGTGCCCCGCGTGCTGGACGTTCTGAAAGGTTTTGGTTCTCTTAGAACTCCCCCTGGGCCTTCGGCACAGCGCGCCGTCTGCGTGTCTCGTCGGCTGTTTCGCTTCAGATGGCTTCAGAATGGCCTCCAAGGTAGTCAAGGTGCCTCCAAGAAGGCCAAGATGGCCCCCAAAGAGCCCATGATAGCCCCAACATTGCCTCCAAGACGGCCCCCAAATACCTCCAAGACCTGGAAGATGGCCAAAAGAGTCCACGATGGCCGAAGAAACGCCCAAGAGGTGCCTAAGACTGCCCAAGAGGCCTCCAAAAGAGCCCCCAGGAAGGGCCGAAGAGGACAAAATCAATGACTGCCCTACGGTATTTGAAGGTTTGTGGCTTGTACGTGTTTTCGGTTCTCCGACGGCCCGAGACGGCTCCAGAGGCCCCCAAGATCGCCCCAAGATGGCCACGAAGGCCTCCAAAATGACGCCATGACTCCCCTAAGAAGCCTCCAAGACGGCCCTGAAGCGCCCCAAGAGTGCCCCAAGTCGGTTCCGAGAGGCATTGAAGACGGCCTCCGACGGCGTCAGGCGGACCAGGAACGCCGTAAGACAGCCAAGTAAGCCCCCAAGAAGCCCCCAAAGGCCCCCAAGAGGGCCCTAACGTTTGGCCTCGTAGGCGTATCGTACAAGGCGGCGGTGATTCGCCGTGGGCGTCTTCGACACTGGCGGCACCAGGACGGGGCGAACCTCGCGCGCGAAAGAAAACAAAATGCCGCCCTCGCCGCGGCGCCGAAACCCCTTTTTCTTCTCTTGGGAGCTGAACTCCCGCCACGGCGCGGCAGACATTGCCCCCAACAGGTGGCCGACGCGCTAACGTTCGAAACTGAAACGGTGGCCGATGCGCTGCGAAAGTTGTAGGTCGGGCATGTCCTCTTGCGGGTGGGCTTTAGAAGAAAATGCAAACAAACCAAAACGTATGATCCAAGCACTCCGACGTAGATTAAGATTGCCCTTTCGTTCTTCCCAATTCGCCCTGAACGAAGACACCCGTCTCGCAATCTGTCCTGTCGCGCATCGTCCGCCTCATCTTCCCCATCTTCCTCGTCCTCCGTTTCCTCCTCCTGCTCGCCCTCCTTGGCAAATTTCTCCTCTTCCTCTTCTTCCTTTTCATCCTCCCCGTCCTCCTCCACCTCCTCTTCTTTCCCCCCCCCCGTTACACCTCCATCATGCACCTCCCCTTCCTCCCAGCAGGGGAGCGCATGCCGATGCTCGTAGGGGCACTCGCCGCCGCGCCTGGGGAGGGCGCTGTCTCCGATGGCAATGTCGCGCAGCCGTCGGGGCAACGGCCGTTGGGACAACCCCGCGAGCAGCTGGGGCGCGACAGCGAGCCATTGGGACGACTCGGCAGGCACTGGGCAGGCACCGAGTTAGTTGCGGCCGCGCTCAGGCGGGAGGCAGCACAACATCCAGCTCTGCCGCGAGCTCTTCCGCCTCAGCACTGGAGCGACTTGTGACTGGGAAGGTGGTTCCCTCCTCAGACCTCCTCGCAATTCACTCACAGACGCGTGAGGAAGGCCTCGTGATGTGCCCATGTTGGGCGCTCAAGTGCTATGCCTGGTAGAGTTTGCCGATGACCCGCTCACCAACATGAAACGGTCCCATAGGGAAGGGGGCTCCCGCCTGAGAATCCCTCGCAAGTCACTCACAGACGAAACTCCCGCCTCAGATGTCCTCCATATTCAATACGGAGGAGCCGAAAAGCGACGACACTTACAGGTTTCCGGTGGCCCGCTCGGATTACCAACATGAAGTGCGGCCTTCCTTGCACTTCACCCACAAACGAAGCTCCAGCCTGAGTCTTCCTGCATATAGCATATTCGATCGAGACTAACCGAAAAATGACGACAACTACAAGTTGCCGATGACCCGCTCGGATTGCCAACATGAAGTGCAGACCCCATGGGGGGGGGGCTCCCGCCTGAGACTTTCTCCATATTAAGTCTAGAGGAGCCGAAAAGTGACGACAAATATAGGTTTCCGATGAGATGACCTGCTCGGATTACCGACATGAACTGCGGACCCCATATGGAGGTGTCTCCAGCCTGACTTCCTCGCAATCCACTCGCAGACGAAGCCCCCGCGTGAGACTTCCTCCATATTCAATCCCAGAGGAGCCGAATAATTATGATAAATACAGGGCTCCGATGTCCCGCTCGGATTACCAACATGAAGTGCGGACTTACAAACTTCGCCCGAAAGTGGCGTTCCCACGTGGGCGCAACATAGGAGCATGGAAAACCGACACCAACACCACCAGGGACCACCAGCCGGAGGAGCCAGGGAGGGGTCCCCCTAGTGGTGTGGCCCTCCCTCTCGCTCGACCCCGATCCCCAGCTCGGAGAGGTATCGTGGACCTCCTCGCTGGAGGTGGCCCCCTGATGGTGTTGGTGTCGACCCTCCTTCCCCCCACAGCACATGTCTCGCTTGCCGCATCGCGCGGAAGCGAAGGCGGCAGCGGAGCTGCGCAGGAGCGGCCAGAGTGCTGCAATCGCCAACAAGCGCCGCGCATGCACGACGACACCAGGATCCGCCCAGACGGCCCCAAGATGGTTGACGCGAGCCCAAACGGCAGAGCTCGGGACTCGGGGGAACCTCGCGCCGAATACGGTCCCGGGAGCCGAGACGCGCAACGAGGCCCAACCATGCACCCAGCAGGCCTCAACGCAGCCCTCAAGAGTTCTCGAGCAAGCCCTCAAGCAACACACAGCGCAACCACCATGCACTGCTGCGGCTGCGCCACGCTACGGCACGATGGATCCGCTTCTGCACCTGTCCGAAGGCATCAGCGAAACCACTATGCATGAATTCTGACGCCATGCTGACACAGTGGCGGAGTTAGCCGCAGGCAGCTGGAGAAGCCGCGTGGCACCAACATTGCTTGTAAGGAGCGCAATCGATATCGAGTCCCATACCGCTGGTTTGTCTCACGTAATGCGCTGCACCATTTATATATACAATTCTATATATATATATATGTATATGTGTATGCTCACCTGCTTGATCTGGTATCCTGCATCGCGATTGAAGTTACGTCATAATGAGCATGTTGCAACATTGTTCACACAGTTCTGCAGAGATGGTTGGACACTGGTGAAACATTGAATCCCAACCTCATGTGGCCCAAGTGTTCGCAAAAAACAGAAACCACATTCGCTCAAAACGTGTCCTGGCTCACCGTGTTGAGGAACGGGTACAGCAGTAGGGGTATGTGCGCCTGGAGGAGCGACAGAACGAGTACTATCAGATCGCGCTGACAGACTAAACTTCCAGATCTCATGTCTATGGCTGAATGCTTTTGTGACTAAACAGCAAAGAGCAGACTCACTGGGAGCAAAGCGCGAAACGAATCCGGGAGCTCAATGTTGTGGGCATGTCCTGGGCTGACCTTGCCCTGAATTGGCCGAGTCCTTTGTCCGCCAGGCGCACATCGGCAACGTCTTCTCTCGTACCGACGACGGCGCATGTAGCGAGAGCCCTCTGCGAACTGCAGCTAATGCGACGGACCTGTGATCATCCCCCGAATACTTAGCCTGGCGAAGGACCCAACCATATGCAGTTGTGAATACTGTCGTTGTTATTATCGCCTTCGGTGGATCTCCTCAAGCGGCCACGAAGCGCGTGAAGAGTGTGCCGAAATGGAGCGGGGCCGCCATGCGGGCGCTGCTACTGGGGCCTGATGTACAGCCCCCTTCATGGGGCCACGAAACGTGTGAGGGATGTGCCGAAATGGGGCGGGACGCCATGTGGGCGCTGCCACTGGGGCCTTCGGTGAAGCTCCCTATCGAGCCGCGAACCGTGTAAGTGGTGTGTAGAAAAGGGCATGCGGTGGGCGGGGAGGGCGCATGCGGACGCGGCCACTGGGGCTTTCGGTGGAGCTCCCTATGACGCCACGAACCGTGTGAAGGGTGTGCCGAAATGGGCATGCGGTGGGCGGGGAGGGCGCATGCGGACGCGGCCACTGGGGACTCCGGTGGAGCTCCCTATGGGGCCACAAACCGTGTGAAGGGTGTGCCGAAATGGGCATGCGGTGGGTGGGGAGGGCGCATGCGGACGCGGCCACTGGGGCCTTTGTTGGAGCTCCCTGTGGGGCCACGCAACGTATGAAGGATGTGCCAAAATCGACATGCGGTGGGCGGGGAGGGCGCATGCGGACGCGGCCACTGGGGACTCCAGTGGAGCACCCTATGGGGCCACGAACCGTGTGATGGGTGTGCCGAAATAAACATGCAGAGGGCAGAGGCAAGGAGGGGTAGACGGGAACAGGGGGGGAGGAGAAGGAGGAGGAGGAGGAGGAGGAGGAGGAGGAGGAGGAGGAGGGGATGGGGAGGGGAGGGGAGGGGAGAGGAGAGGAGAGGAGAGGAAAACGAGGACCCAACACCACAGGACGTTTGGGAACAAAAAAACTATTCCAGTGCGACCCTACCTAGGAGTTGGAGCCTCTAGGAAAGCAGCATTAGCAGCAGCAATAGTGGATGCTGTGCTGCACTATGCTATGCTATGCTATGCTATGATATGAAATGTTATGACATGATATGATATGCTATGTTATGCTATGCCATGCTGTGCTATGCTATGATATGCTATGTTATGCTGCGCAATGCTATGCTGGGCTAGGCTGGGCTATGGTATGATATGCTATGCTATACTATGATGTGCTGCGCTGTGCTATGCTAAGCAATGCTATGATATGATATGATCGGTTGTGATATAATGTGCTATGCTATGCTATGCTATGCTATGGTATGCGATGCTATGAGATGCTGAACTAGGCTATGCTCTGCTTGGCTATGTTATGCTATGCCGTGCTGATGCTGCGCTGCGCTAAGGTAAGCTAAGATAAGCTAAACTATGCTAAGCTAAGCTAGGCAAAGCTAAGCTAAGCCAAGCTAGGCTAAGCTAAGCTAAGCTAAGCCAAGCTAAGCTAAGCCAAGCAAAGCTAATCTAAGCTAAGCTAATATAAGGCACGCTAAGCTAAGCTAAGCTAAGCCAAGCCAAGCTAGGCTAGGCAAAGCTACGCTAAGCTAAGCTAAGCTAAGATGAGATAAGCTAACCTAAGCTTAGCTTAGCTTAGCTAAGCTAAGCTGGGTGGACCCAGGGGGCGCAACTGGGGGAACCGCGGGGCGGATCCTGGGGGAACCGCCCGGGGCGGGCAACACTGCCCGGCCCTTTAAGCACACAGGGTAAGAACCCTTCTAGGCAGAGCCTAGGTAGAGAACACAACACATACCGATAATTGGCACACGCCGTGTTCGCAGGCAACTCATAGGGATCTCATCTACCATCTTGTTGGCCGACACTACTCGACGGTGATCGACGCTACATCGACGCCCATCGACGCTAGCCGACACCAACCGAGGCGAAATCGGCGCTATCTCATTGCTGACCAGACGCTGCTCGACGCTAAATAAAGAACGAGACGGTATGCAAAGCTCCCACAATGTGCTACCGAACGTCGTTAGGGAAACGAAGATGTAACAATACAGCTACTCCCCAGACCTCTCCCGGGTTGCGTTCTGACCGAGAGTTCCAGGCGAATCAAGCGGTGGCGGCGAGGGCCTCCCAGGAGGCCGAAAAGGGAGAGAAAACGGGGGAAGGGTGGCGGCATGGGCGCTTAGTCTTCCTCCTCCGCTCTGCTTCCGAACGTCGTTGCCTTTCGTTTCCCGGGGCCCATGGCCCAAAGTCACAGGCGCTCGTGGGCGCCCCCGCGCGCGTCAGGGCGCTGCCAGACGTGCCCGTGCGACCTCTCCAGAAGCGACGCCCTCCTCCTCCTCCTCCTCCTCATTCTCCTCCTCCTCATCCTCCTCCTTCTCCTCCTGCTCCTCCTGCTCCTCCTCGCGTGCCCCGAGGGCCCCGAGGGACCATCCTGGGGCGTCTCGGCGGCCTCGCGGACCATCCTAGGCCCCTGGGGCTGAGTCGGGCACGTCGGGCTACAGGAGGAATATTCAGAACTAGTCAAAGCCCAGTCTGGGGACGAGGTTTTGAACGTTTCTGATTCTCACCGGGAATGCCACCAAGAACGTCCAAGAGTGGCTCCAAGAGTGGCCCGAGTGGGGAAACAAAAACTTCTATTTGGAGCCGTCCCCCCTTACTGAAGGGGCCCCAGGACACACAAATAAATACACACAAGTGAAAAGCTTTCCCATATGTTGCCATATTTTCTGGGGTTTTGTCTTCCCCCGCACTTCCCATATTTTCCCATATTTTCTATGTGTCTGTGTGTGTTGTTTCCCCTCCTGACTTACGTCGAGTCCCGAAACCGCCCCTCCACCCCCGAGGGGCTCCCAAAAAGTCCCCCGGGCACGTGGAGGGGCCCCCAGAGGAGGCCCCCGACACGGCCCACGCAGGTCCCCAAGAGGCCCCGAGGAGGCCTCCCGAGCGACCCCAAACGGGCCGGGCGAAAGGGGGGGGATAGCAAAGGCGGGGTTTGAGAATCAGCTCACATAGCTGATTTTCCCAGCGCCTCCTGGCGCCGGAGGAGCCCATGTATCGAGGAATGGGCCCCGCGGCAGGGCCGAAACCAGTTGCATGCAGCAGATTTCGTAGCCCCCCCTTTCCCCCCCTGTCGTTCGGGCCGACCCAAGGGGCCCTCTCAGAGGCCTTGGTCAACGGCCCACTCATGGTGGCCGGATGGCCGCCCCCATGTGGTCGTGCCACAAAAGGTGCCAAGCGTGCTGAGGTTCAAGCGGCTTTTGGCTCTCCTAAAATAGAGGAAAAAGAAACGGCGTAGACACAGGTTTCTGGAGGTCCGCGCGGATTTCTTGGATCTGCGGCGGACCCCCCAAAGTGATGTTTATGGCGTTTTTCCCTTCTTCGATAGAACTCCCCCATGGGACTGCGGTGAGTTGCGCCGGGGTGCGTCTCGTCGGCTTCGTCGCTCACGGTGGCCTTCAAGACGGCGGCCAAGAAGCCACCGCGACGGCCAAGAGGGCCCGAAAGAAGAGCCCAAGATAGCCGAGTGGCCTCCAAGACGGCCCCAAGGTGCCTCCAAGGCAATTAAGATAGTCCAAGATAGCCCAAGACGGCCCCAGAAGCCCCCAGGAGGACCCGAAGATAGCCCGAGAGGCTTCCAAGGGGTCCTCAAGGAAGGCCCGACGACGCCCAAAGTATGGATTTCCTCATGCTTTAAAAAAAACGGAAATTGGCATTTGCGTCTTGTCGGCCTTCCGACGGCCTAAGACGGCCCACAGGCCTTCAAGATCGTCCCGAGGCGGCCCAAAAGGCCTCCAAGATGACCACATGACGGCCCAAGAAGCCTCTGAGACGGCTCCAAGGGGGCCCCATGACGGCCTCAGAGACCCACAAGATGGCCTCCAAGACGGCCCTGGAGCACCCCAAGAGGGCCCCATGTCGGTTCAGAGAGACTTCCGACGGCGTCAGAAGGGCCAGGAACGCCGTAAGACAGCCGAAGCAACCCCCTAGGACCCGAAAGGCCCCCCAGAGGCCCAAGGAGGCCCCCAAGAGACCTCTGAAAGGCTCCCAGGAAGCTCAAGAGGCCCCAAAAGTGGCCCCAGAGGCTCCCAGAGAGGACTGTTCCCTGTTTCCTCCCTCTCATCCTCCTTGTCCTCCTGTTTCCTTGTTCCCTGTTTCTCCTTCTGTGTCCTCCTGTTGTGTCCTCCTTTCCTGTCCTCCTTGTGTCCTCCTTCCTCTGTCTCGTACCGTTTTCCTTGTGTCCTCCTGTTGTCCTCCTTTCCTGTTCCTCCTTCTCCCCTTGTTTTTCTGTCTTATCCCTCTCATCCTCCTGCTCTTCCACCCTCGCGTGTTCCCCGACGGGCTCCCACAACAGCCGGGGGAGCGCACGGTCCAACAGCGCGGCCGACCTGACTCTGCCCGAACGCTCGGCGGCGCGGGCGCACCCCAAAAAGCAAAGGGGCGGCGGTGAGTCGCCGCAGGCGACTCCGATCCGATGCCACCCTGCCTGCAGAGGAACTCGCCATGGTTCGGACGTCCATTCCCCGTGTTTTGCTTGGTGTTGTTAGGATGCTCCTCGATGGTCCTCGCCGAAGGAAAAACGCACACGTCCGAACGATGCGAAAGGGATCCACGGCGCGCCAGATCTTCGGCTGGGTTTTTGCGCACGCCCGGAAAATTCCCACGATGCCTCCGCCGACCCCGGCGCCGCATCCGCGGAACACACCTGGAATGTTCGCGGACATGTGGAGCAAGCTTCGCGTTGCTTCCATTGTTTCGGCTGGCGCATCCATGCTGGGGCGAAAC